AGTATTGGGTTCATTCTGAATTGTTCTGATAATAGGTCAGTATAGGTCATAGCCCCTAACTCCTTTACCTCTGGAGCTTGTCACAGGGTCAACCTCAAGTCCAAAGCAGATAGGAGCCTAGAGCTGTTTAATAAAAAACTTAAACACCCATAAAATCGACTACATCCTTCATTCTCCTCAACTGCACTGATTTTAATGAAAATTTCAACCGGACAGTGTAGCTAAATGACCCAAGTGTTTGGACAGAGGAAATGATGCTGCTGTTGAAAAAAAAAAGCTCTGCAATAAACCTCACAGACTGCACAATCTGTAACTCTGAAAAGTTAAAAAATGAGCCACCTCCAAAATCTCGATTATGCGCCCATGCACAGAAGCCATATAATATTTTATATATATAATATTCTCCAGACTCACCAACAGCTAAATCCTGTCCTTGCATGGAGTATAGAGCGATGCACAGACTCCATCAGTTGTATTTATGTGGCTTTAAGTTTCTAAAAACATAAACAATCTTCCCTTAAGTCATTATGCTGTGTACAAAAAAAAAAAAAAGAGTGAAGCTGTGATGACCCTAAAAGCTTTTATTTTAGCTTGTTACAAACAAATTGCCAGGTATTTTATAGAGAATTTATGGCATAGAAAATACCAAGGCTAAGATGTCAAAGTCTGACTTATTTAAAAGCTGCAGAGATGGTTCCTTATAATGAATAAATATAATAACTACATACAAAATGTATAAAAAAAAAAATAAAATAAATATAGCCTGCATGTATGAATAGAATATCAAACTAAAATGAACCGGGCAAAACCAAGAAATAAACTGGACCTGTAAGCCAAGACCTTAACAATCTTCAATTGCTTTGACATTTTGTGTAATCAAAGAATACACCAAAAACACACACCAACCACCTTCCAGCATTTATTTGTTTCAAGTGAAAAAGGCAATCATAAGGCACTAGTCCATGCATAAACCTGCATACTGTACAGTCTGTTGGTTTGGCAGAACATGCAACACTTGAGTGGATACAGAAAAGATGCACTGGGGCCACCAAAACCACATATGCACACACAGACACACTCGACTGTTTGCATATTAACAGACTCCAGCACAGCCTGTCAAATATATGTGCAAGCAGCCGGTTATTGGGGTCATGGTTGAGGCTTGACTACAGGCAGCAGCTGCAGAGACCCTCCCCAGACAGTGCACAAGGGGAGAAGGAACTACATCAGCAAATATGAGCTAGCTGTTACTCCAGAGTGAATTCTGAACTTTAAAGTGGGGGGTGTTTTACATCTATGGGGTATTAAATGCTAACACGTAACATATTTAGATTACGATGTTACCTTCTATAGAAATTATGGAATGCACTTCACCTTGATCTTAGAAAAGCAAAATCAGTCATTTAAAACTATTTAAAGACTCACATTTATAGACTTGTGTCTCTGTAAAAGGCACTATAAAAATTAATTTTACTTACTTACTTTTATTGTTTTGAAATGCCAAAAACATTGTACTCTATTTTCCAGACTATTGAGCGCATCTGAATATAAGCAGCATCAACAAAATTTAATCTAAATTTTAAAATTGTACATACATAGGCCGCACCTGAATATAAGCCGCAGGTGTCCATGTCTTCAAGAACCTTTTCAAGTTCAGGCCATCTGCTTTTATCGCCTCTGAAAGTTTTTGTCATCTTTTTACATTGAGTCAGTTTGTCAAGCTGCCGTCGCCAAAATCTTACCTTTGACTCATTGATCCCGAGCTCATGTGCAGCATCTCTGTTTCCTTTTTCCACAGCCACATCAATCGCCTTTAACTTAAAAGCTGCATCATCTGCATTTCTTCATGTGTTTTCCATGAGGAGGGTGTGTTTATAAAGCGCAAAATAACTGTTCAAAACACAATCAAACAAGCGTTTTCCTTGGCGCATCACCCCGTTTCTCCCCGCACTTTACTGTGCATGTCTCCTGCAAGAGCCGCTGTCTTGTCTTCATGTCAGTGTCTTGTAGGATTTCAGAAGATTTCAGTCTCTCTCGAGTGAGGCTAGATCTATCTAGGTATGAGTGGATGTCCGGCTACTGAAGTTTGAGATGTTTCTTCTCGTCATTTACGCATAAGGGTAAGATGTATCCCACTCACTAATGTTAATTTAGTATCATAACTTATTTTATCACACGGCGATAAACTGTTTGAGTGCACTGACTGAAAACTGAAACTAACCCTAGATCCATGTGTGACCCGCACAGACAGCGGCGTTTTCTGCACTCAGGCAGCTCGTATCCGCTGTGTTGCCAAACCACAGACCGTATATATGAATGGACAATGTGCCAAACAAAGAATCCATCCATATATTAACTGCATCGTTTTTTTAGCCGCAGGGTTCAAAGTGTGAGAAAAAAGTAATGGCTTATAGTCCGGAAATTACAGTATTAATGTTTTTGGCTTTCTGAGTCTCTCCTCCCTTTGCTCTCCATGCTGTCACCCCCCTTCAGAGCGCTATCACAATACAATCACTGTGCATCCTGCTAATGAAACTACTGCACATCATATCAGGTTTGTCAAGCTATAGTGTATTGTTTTGTATCCTGATTTTGTCTATGTAGGGATAGGCATATAAAAGCTTGTTATAACATGGTAAAAAGCTAAAAAAAAAAAAAGATTTTGCCTTCTCTTGATAATACCTCCTCTTAAAAATAAACTAATAATAAAAAAAAACATGGTGAAAAATTAAATTAAACTACCAGTCTATAATTATAAAATAATAACAACAAAATACTTAACCTAACTGTTGACGAATAAAACATTACAACTCAACTACCAAAAAACAGATTTATGCAAGGTGGTTTTAAACAGCTCTTGATACTGTCAATGTTCATTTCTCTTTTAGTTTGTAGTATTTTTACACAGCGCGATTATGTGGCTTTGACTGTTTTTGCTTTTGCTAAAATGACTTGACAACATTAATGAGCGGTTACATAAATCTGTGTGACTACTTGTTTTTTGGGTAAATTAGAAACCAGTCCACTCTTGATTCACAATGATTGAAGATTAAGAAGTGATTTAGAGTAGTAGTAGTAGTAGCATAGAGAAGAGTACTCAATGTGTACTCAAATAAAAGTACTCAATAAAAAGAACACGTAATGCTGCCAAATTTGTAAACTTGCAAATATGGATAAAATTGAAAAAGCCATTAAAAATCATATTAAGTTGTTTTGAAACATCTGTGAATTGGAACTATATTCTTACTTACTTCTATTATTTTAAATGTAACTAAGTCATGACTACAATTATACAGAATTACAAGTACAGGAGTATAGTGAACACTTTAAGCATTGTACTAGAGACTTCATGCAGTTGCCATTTCTGTTACCCCATTGTACAAAATCCTAAACTTTGTGTAAGCCAGAGGTGCTGCCGACACCAGGAGGCTCAGACTGGAGTCTAGCGAGAGTGGAAATATTAAGTGTGGGTTAATGGTCCAAATAAAAGCCCACTTAGGTAATCAATGGGCTCAAATGAAGCTTTTATTTGTGCGGCTGCAGCAGATAGAGCAGGGCTGACAGTGATCCCTGCTCCAGCCACAGAACAACGGCCAGAGTGGCTCCCACATTGATCCGATTCCACAAACACAAACAAACCCTCTGACCTTGGAAGAAAACTCAACTAAAACACAAGTGTAGTCACCAAATCTACATGTAGATCATACTTTTTTAGATCGACCAAAATGTTTTTTTCTCATTGCCAGTGCCATAAGGGCCAATATTTTTGGGCCGATATATGGACGATTTTGATCATTTTCTCCAAATGACGTAATTTAAATCACCAAGAGCACATTTTACCACAAACAAAAAGAGAGCTGTTTAGTCATGTTTTGTCGAATTATCTCTTTGCACTAAAGTGTTCAAATGAAGCCAAAATAAAATATCGGCCTCTATTGGAGATTTAAGGCTGATAGTGATAACCTAAAGAGTGCAAATATCGGTTTATCTCTTCTTATACTCTACTGTCTCTACTACTAGATAACAGATATACAGACATACTTTTAGACATCAGCGAGAAACAGTAAGCAAAAGTCACTGACAGTATTTTTGTACAAAGTGGGCAGCCTGTCTAACCCTTCTTAACTGATTAATTTATAGTGTGTATTATGTATTATGAATTATATATTGACTTTCATGCCAAGACTAGTCACTTGAAGTTGTTTTAAATTTGTTATATAAAAAAACTTTAATAAAACCAGGAAGTACAGGGACATAAACTACCAGTCAAATGTTTGGACAGGCCTTCTTAATCAATGTATTTCTTCTTTAACATTACAACTTTCTATGATGCAAGATGTATGAAATGTTTATATTATATATTCAAATCCTCAAAGTAGCCCTTTGCCTTGTCAACAGCATTGCAAACCCTTGGCCTTCTCTCAGTGATCTTGATGAATTCCCATAAAATGGTGCAATTTCAAGAAATGTCAAAAGTGCAGAGCAGTGGGTAAAGCAAAGGCTGGCTATTTTTTAGAATCTAAAATCTAAACTTTTAACGTATATTCAATGTGTCCATCCATAGTTTTGATGCCTGCAGTGAGAATGATAAAATGTATCTAAACTTTTGACTGGTAGTATAGTCCTGGTCTCAGGTCTCTGCACCGGCTTCCACCGGCTCAGAGAAGAGACTTTAAAGCGGCTCTGCTTGTGTACAAGTGGCTCCATGGCCTAGCACCAAAGTACATCTGTGACATGTTAGTGCCATATGAACCATCTCACACTCTGAGAACAGTCTTCCTGAGCATGTGAGGCTTCGACGATGTTTAAATCCAGGCTCAAAACTCGTCTGTTTAGCTGTGCACATGACTGAAAGCACTCTTCTTTTTTAATGTTGATTTTATGCTTTAATTTGTTTGTATTGTGATTTTAATGTCTTTCATATTCTGTACACCACTTTGAAATTGTGCTATATACGGTAGATAAACTTGTCTTTCTTTCTCCAAACTTGAAACTCGTACCTGAAAAAACACGGCCATGGCAGCGATGATCCTCTTTTCCCTGAGCGCTGCACTGAGGCTGTCGAAGTCGTCTGAGTTGTACATGTAAATCTGCATCTGGAAGATACAAGAACACACAAAGAATTAGTGATAGTGAAACATTACCAGAAACAATGCTTGAGTCTCTTTAAAATCGAACATAAACTTGACCTGAAATCATAATTTCAAATTGGCAGCATTTTAGTTTTATAATAATATTTTTGTTATTTCTTTACATTTATTTTAATTAGCCTCATAAAGTGTAAACATATGCTTAATTCATAATTAACAACTAGTTTATTGAGAATTATTCAGGATTAAATATGTACTAACCCTTAATACTTCATCATCAAATTTTCTTCATTATGAATTAAATGTTTGTTCATTCAGTATTAGGCCTATTTAAAGTGTAATTATTATAACATTTTCCACATTTTCATTTATTATCTGAGCCATTAAGATGCATGTGAGTGTCCTAAGAGTCTTGTTCTTAGCTGAAGAATAGGAGAGGACATGATCTGATGATATGTGTCAGCACTTTTTTGCAATAAAGTGAGCGGGTAAAAAAAAAACAAAAAAACATTGAAATTGTGCAAAAAATCCTGCAGGAAATATAAATCTACGATACCATCACAATCCTGCAGCCATGTTTAGTAGTGCATGACCTGAAGTTACCTATCAATCCCATTACACACGTCATAATGGAAACACATGTTCATTCAAATGTTAATGAAGGCTGTACTGCATTATCCACACGGTGAACACACACGCGAACGAGCCCCCAGTCGTCTGATACTGCCATCGCATGTGCACATATATATGCCCTGCTGTATACATTTGCACGTCTGCTTGCATAATTTGTAGCACTGGGGAACACACTCCTGCATGCCAAAAGCAATTCTCTGAGCTCTTCTCTGCCAACATCAACACTGTCAAAATCACTTGTGTAGCATTTTCTGCAGCTTGCTAATGCGCACATAAAGAGCCCCGTGCATGGCTTTTTGATCTATTTGTGGAGTAAACAGTTGTCGAGCAGCGCGATATAGAAACTGTTTATAGAATTTATGGCAGCTTGGCTAGAACTGACTCATATTAATTAAAGTCAAAGCGGTGGATTGCCGTATACAGAGGAGAGACTGCAGCTAGCTACACAATTAAAAAGGAGTTGAAACACAGTGAGCCAGTGCCTAATGATGCCGTGTGCTGTCTCCATTGGAAAGGCACACTGCAGGGGTTGATGGGAATGCTAATGCAGAGCTAGCTGTGCTGTGTATGAGTCAGGCACTGAAAGTAAGCTGTTTGGCGTTTCAGTGTACCCATATAGGTGAGGTAACAAAACATCTTCCTCCTGATAATATGGATGGCACAGTACAGTTTTACACGGTTTACCCAAATTGTTTTGACATACTGGAATGTCATACTCTTTTTATAGATTTATACGTAATAGATTTTAAAAACAGAATGTAGTTTCTAAAAAGCAGGTATTTCTACACTATGGCGCGTGGTCCCTGTGGCTTCCAAATTACCTTAAGTTTCCTCATCAAAAACATACCTGGAGTTGTGTGTTTGTTTGTTTGTTTCACACATGTTGAACACACAAACCCTGCATATTTAAGCTGAGTTCTTCTCTCAAACAGTAAACACTCTGTTCCACCTTGTGATGTCATGGGGTAATACAGGAAGTGCTTCACTGTGTTTTAAAACTTCATACACCTTCAGTAGAGTCATTTTGATCATTTCAGCCCTGGAATTGCCCATCTCTACTGAAAAAAGGTAAAAGATAGCACTTAACTTGAAAACTACCACTACATGACATCACAAAGTGGAATAGAGCCTTTTGAGTTTTGGGAGACAGATGGTGTGTGTAACATTCGTTCTTTTGAATTTCAATTAAGAACAAAAACCAATAGATTTGTTTGTTATTTTACAGTTTGTTATTTCATTATTCCATTTTAGTTTCCAACACCACCAACAACAACAACAAAAAACAGCTTCCAATCTCTATTTCCAATATTTAATTTAAAGTTTATCTCAAATAACCAATCAAAAAACAGTCTTGGTGCCTATTTTAATTCTGATATTTTATTCTCTTTGGTTTATTTTCTCTGGAAGTTTTGTTGCTCAGCGTGCGGTGGGTGAATTCAGTGTCAACCATGAATCTATAATAAAAACAATTTTTACTTATAGTTCTGTGGACTGAACTATAAGTAAAAAGATGAACAAAATGTATCGCCTTGCTGCTACTTGTTTCTCATCATGGAGTTCAGCAATTACTTTCTAAGACATGAAAGTAAACGCGTCACTGTTTGTGCACAAAATTCCAACGATTTTTCAGATAAGTCCTTCTAGCAGCAGAAGTTCCGAGGCAAATAAACCAGAGAGAATAAAATATCAAAATTAAAATAGGCACTGAGACTATTTTTTGATTGTTGTTATTTGGAATAAAATTTAAATTAAATATTGGAAATAGTGGTCAAAATATTTTTTTTGTTTTGTTTCTTTTTTTGACACTAAAGCAGAATAACGAAATAACAAACTATTTTCCCATGTTATTGTTTTTCGTTTTCTTAATTGAAATTCAAAAGAATGAATAGTACACGGACCACGGACTAATAATAAGAGTTTATTAAAACATGTGTGAATGAAACAAAACACAACTCTTGTCAATTTTGTGTAATATAGGACCTTTAAATATCTAGTGTGTGCTTTTGAGGATGTAAGCTTGAATAAAGGCCTGATGACTCATTCTAACCTGTTAAAAATGCACATATTTCAATTATTCACTGTACTGAGCACCTCAGTCGGGCTTCTGCTTCATCTGTGTTGTGATATGTGGCCCTTGATGAAAAGTTTGGATGCCCCTGCTCTAAAAGCACTCTTCCTGCTGTCTCAAAAAGTGAAAAACAAAACAAATCCATTTTAAATGTTATTCCTCAATTATTTAACACATTCTGGGCATCCCAGTTGTTTACTGCAATGAGTATGCACTTTCACAACTTTCTGAGGCTGAAGAGAGAGTTTTGCTGTAATAACACTGCTAACAAAAACTAGTGTGCTCACTCTGTACCTGCATTATTTCCTGATACGTGGGCAAAAGAGCACTTTATAATTACATGTGGACAGCATACAGCGGATACAATTCCACCCGAGGATCTGCTTTTATATAATGTATATGTATATTTGTATATCTGTGGACAATTGAGTCACAAAGTATTTCATTTTTGGCATGACTGGCATTCAATTCGAAGCTCTGTGGGTGAGGCTAAGTCCAAAACTGTTCAAGAAAGGTTCAACTTTCTACTTTTTTCAGTATATTTCAGTAGTAGTACTAATAGTTTTAGTATCAATTAGTAGATATAGACCTATGTATCAGTTGGCTATTATGTGGAATAGTTTCACTTTTTACTGTAACAGTTATCGGCCTTAAATGTGCATTGTGCAACTTTTCAGGTGGAGGGTTCGTCAAATGCTTTTCTCCATGGAGATGTTATTCCTGTGTCTGGAATATTTCACAGTGTGGTATTAAACCAAACCAATCCCAAGTTACAGGTCAGATCTGTAGAGAGGCGACCCTGCTCACAGTCAGAGTGTCTGATGTTTTTCAAGATATTTTTGAGCTATAAAACCACCTGTAATTTAATAAATGTAAAGTAGTGCTGTTTAGTGTCATACTGTGGAACATTCGAGGCAGAATGATGACAACCATAGAAACAATCACGAAATGCTGCACTTTTAAATCTCCAGCAGAGGCCCATATTTTGTTTTGGCCTACTGCTTTATTTGAACATTTTAATGCGAAGAGATAACTACGCAACACATGAGTACACAGATTTCTTAAAGGTTTGTGGTAAAAGGGGGCTGGAGGTGAGTTTTTAGAAAATTTTAATTAAAGAATTTGGGGAAAATAATCAAAATAGGCCCTGCATATCAATCCACAAATATCAGCAGAGCTTATTGACCACTGGTTGCTGTGAGTTCTAGTCAAGTCTAGTTCTAGTATAGTCAATCTTTTTGACAATAACATGACCTAGAATAAAGACAATATAGTAGAGGAGGCTATTAGTTTTGTTGGCTAAAACAGTTCTTCCTTTCATGGAAAACGCAACCCACTGCCAAGCTCATTAAAATCTCCAAATTAAAACACAAAAAAAACAAATGGAAAACATTACCAATCAATTATTGCTTGTTAAATTACAGGCAAAATGATGATATGATTGCAACAAGATAATAAATGTCCTGTCACGTCAGTTCTAATGAGGCAGGTCTCAACACTGGCAGACGCTTCCTGGATACTTTTATGCGTCAGACTTTCACATAAAACAAAGAGTTGGCGATATGCCGAAAAATGAATATCACTATTTCCTAAGAGCCAGATCACGATTGCAATTTCATCACAATTTATGTACATTACCAACTTTATATGGCTTAGAAGAGGTCACTTGTTTAAAGGTCCTGAAGCAGTAGTTTCCAAGTTAACAGCTACCTTTTACCTTTAGTTCAATAGAGAGGGTTGAAATGATCCAAATGATTCCACTGAAGGGGTGTGGAGTTTAAAAACATAGTGGAGCACTTTCTGTATTACCACATGACATCACAAGGTGGAACAGAGTGCTTTCAGTTTGAGACAAGAACAAAATTTGCAGGGTTCGTGTGTTAAACATGTGTGGCCTAAACAACTCCAGGTATGTTTGTGATGAAGAAACAACATTAACAATTAACAAATCAGAAAATAGTGTAATATGGTCCTTTTAAATTGGACCAAGAGGAGTAGTTGGTGTGGAAAATTGCCTGTGTTTGAGCCTAGAGTAGCATTAAAGGGCCCATGTTATGCAATTTCCTGACCTGTTATAATGTTGTTTCCTCACCAAAAACATATCTAGAGTTCTTCTCTCAAATGGAAAAAGACTTTCCTTGTGATGTCATGTGGTAATACAATGTGGTGCTACACTGTATTCTTAAAGTTCATACACCTTCACTATAGCCTGATTTATCAGCCGGTTTCACTTCGTAGAAACCATCTGACCTCACAGCGTTAGAATTTGTTCGCTTGACGGTAGGCGGGTACTTTTTTAATTTAA